ATCCTATACTATGGCATCCCCTTACAAATACAAACTGATAATGGGTCCCATTTCCAAAATAAATTTGTACAGCAATATGCAGAGCAGCATAACATTCAATGGATCTTCCATATCCCATACTATCCACAGGCTGCGGGATTAATTGAATGAATGAATGGGCTTTTGAAAGAGCAGTTAAAAAAGCTGGGAAAGGGAAACCTATCCCGATGGAGATCTAACCTCACAGGTGTGCTCCACACCCTCAACAATAGACCCATCAGGGAGATGGAGACACCCTTGATGCATATGACTATGCCCAAATCTGCAAATAAAGCCTCTAATGGCAATTGAAACTTTAACCTACTGGGAAATGGTTCCAGGTGCAATGGCCCCCTACCGGGCCACTCCAGAGGCTGCTGGGCTAGATCTTTATGCATTAGAACTGGTAAAGATAAATCGAGGCCAGAGATCTTCTAGATCTTGTGTGGCACCACCAGGAATATGAAATCACTCCTGTGACAAATGTATTCAACCTGAATGGGCAGTGTACAGGCTGGAATACCAGTTGATGCTGAACTGTGCTGAGCAGATGACATCAGCTTCAGATCCACAGTCACACTGATCTTCCAATGAAAAAGACCACAACAGTGAAATATATGAAGAGAAGCAGCTGAGATGACTGTGGCAGTGTCTGTAGCCAAATACGAGATAAAGATGTCACACTTAGAGATTGTGTGAGGGCTGTGGTCCACCCATATGTCAAGGGGCCAAGTGAAATGCTGGGGTTTCAGCCCCAAGCCCCAAATTAAGGTTGACATAGGGGTGATTCCCACAGCCCTTCACAAAGGGGGGGTGAGTTTGCCTTTAAGCTTCTGGCTGACCTTGCAGGGAGAGCCATTAGGTAAATGAGCCCCAGGTGTCCCACATTAAGTAAACAAGGGTCAGGTGTCCCACTTGGGGATAAAAGCTGGGACCCCTTGCAGGAAGGGGCAGTGTCTGTCTGTGAGGTGGATGCACTTTGCAGAGTTCCCTGTTGGGGAAGGACCTCCTGCCTCCCTGGGACTGGGCTCTAGTCAGGTCTGGCTTTTGTAAACGTGGGCTGTGTAGAGATTCAGTATGTGGCTTCCTTGGTCTCATGTGTTTGGTTTGTTGACTGGGTTGTCTCCTGTTCCTTCTATGGGAAACTGCATTTCACCATTTATTCCACCCGTTATTGGGGTCAGTGGGATTGCTGTCAATTATGTATAATCTGACTTGTTTGTACCCCCAGTGCTCACCCATGTACTGACCCTTTTGTATCAAAGACAATTTAGTGATTGGTTCATCTTTATGCTGGCTGTGTCCTTTATGCTAGGCCTAATAATTGGCAAAACAATGGTGCAGGTGTGTGACTGATCAACAAGCCCCTACAATGGAAGAAAGCCTGGAGAAGATGGGCACAGGCTCATGAGTTTCAGGGAAGGATAGAGGGAATGATGATAGCTGTTGTAACAAATGCTGACCATAGCTCAACAAAATGGGGACTAAAGGGTGGCCTTTGTTTCAGATAAATGGCTGTGTAAGTTGAATGGATCAACAATGGATTGTTCCCTGAGTTAATCAAAAAGATATGAATGTCTTCCTGAGCTAGCCAGATCAGTAGGAGAGGGAGGGAACTGGATATGTGGCTTGGGCCAAAATGAATTTTGAAGAGAGCTCCGGGCTTGAGGAGGCTATTAGTCAAGAAACATAGGGTTTGTTCTTTTCCCTAGTAACAATATTTACTGTAGCTTAGCAGACAGAGGATTAGCATAGTATGGTAAGAAGGTAGCAGTCAGCCTTGAGACATGAAGTAAAGAGGTAACAAGAACAGCTTGGAGCGGCTGTCTGGCTGAGACCGGTTTTGTGGTGTAGGGCCTGGCCAACTCAGCATTCTATGTGAAAGGTGGTAAGTACATGGTGAGGAAGACTGTGAGCCTTCCTCTGGAAGACCACCAGGAGACAATACGCAGGCATTTTAGAACTGTTGACACAAGCGTTTTGAACTAACTCCACCTTAGTTATGCATATATATGTTTGTATTGTGTAACCCTATGAATATGTATATCTATGTGAGAGACAAAAGCCAGGCCTGCTAGAAACACAGACTGAGAAAAACAGTCTGAGAAAGAGATAAAAGTTGAGGCCCTCTGAGTTAAGGAATGTCTCAAACACAAGATGAAACTATAGTCACAGGGTGGATGGTGTAGAGGCTGAAGCTGATAAGGCTGCCTGAATAACACAAGATGCAGCTGGAGGAGGGATCCCTGTGGAGACAGGACAGTTCTGCTCTGGGGCACCTGGCCAGATTTCAAGGGCCATCTGTCTGGTGAATGACCCTTCGCTTCATTTTCCATGAAATGCATATTAGACCTGACTCCCCTCAATATGCTGATGAAGACTAACATGATCATGCTAATGACATCATCCCATGAAACATCTTACCTCTCCCCATATGTGGGATATGTAGGTATGTGGGTCAACCTAGGGGATGGGACCCAAGGGAAAGTGTGTATAAATCAAGGGTTGGAAAGGGGGGGGAGGCCTGTAGAGTGCAGTGAAGATGACAGATGCCTCCTTGAACCCTTTCTGGTGGGATCAACACAGAAACCCAGACTGGTGATCTCTATTCCCCTATTCCCTCTGTCTCTCCTTTCCTTTTTGCCCTTTTTTCCTTCACTAGCATTAAGAAATGCAAGGTATACTGTATTGCTTGCCACCATCCACTATATACTTAGCCAATGAGTACAATGTTCAATTAGCTCAATTAGTACATCGTGGGTAGTAAATAAATGTTTGGACTTTGGGACTTGTCTCACCATTGTCCACTCCATTGGAGATTTGTGAATCTGAGTCATTTGTCTCCTTCATCTGAGCGGGAGCTGACAATCTACGCTATAGAAACTTCTGGTAAAATGTGCTGTTGGTGTGCAAGCTTTTAGGAGCAATCCCCTTGCACCCTGGCACCAGGATAAACATACCTGCTTTATAACTCTTGGGGAGCTGTGGAGTTTGTTTCTGCAGGTCAGCTCCAACTCTTGTACTCCTTCCCAGCAGCTGGGGATGCCCAGCACTGTGATTGTGAGCATATAGAGACCAGTAATAGGAATCATGTTTGTACTGTGATCAAGCTTTAGACTGCAATTACTATGTTATGCTTCTGTTGTGCTTTTGGTCATTGCTGCATCACTCTGCTAAATCAAACCACTGTGTAATGTCAAGTATCTTCTAACAAGTAAATCTGATTATTAAAACATTTAAACCTTTCTCATGTGGAATATCTAAAAACTTGGTCAGAGAGTACTGGACTCTGACATGGTCCAGCTCTGTAAGGGCTGGTCTCTCATTTGTACAGGTTAGGGGGGTACACAACTGGCCCCTTGATGGGCATCCTAGTGATATCTCCAGGAAATTTTCTACTCTACTCATTCTAAACTATGACAGGGTAAGCCACTGATTTAAAAGTGTTGTGATCAAAAGAAGGAACCAGGAGATAAGGGAGAGAGTTACTCCAGCTTTATATAAACAGTGCATGTCTGGTTAATGCAAAAAAGACTGATAGGAGGGGAACATCCTATCCCAGGAGGTGCCACATGATGGATGATTGAGAAGAAAAGCAGCAGTAAATGGGGAAAGATAAAGATGTGGGGGTGGTGGGAGATGAGACTGACCACTGACCCGTTTTAAGACCAAGATGAAAGGAAGTTGCTGTAAGTGTACTTGAAATTACAAGATCTTTTGCCCTTGTTAATGTATAGAAACCAGTAAAGTAGGATGTTTAGTTTTAATGTTAACCATCACTTGTGTTTTACTAGCTTTTATTTTTCTCGTATTTTACTGCAATGTATATAATTTCATTTATACTCTTTTCCTAACTACCCTCTGTAGTCTTACCCACTTGTAAAATGTTTTGAAACCTGTAACTCCTTGCCTAGTGGGGATAAAACAGGCCTTGGACAGTGAAGGGAGGTTGATGCAAGTATACGTGTAATTACAGGACCTCCTGCCCTCGTTAATGTATAGAAACCGGTAATGTTATTTTTTTATGCAATACATACAACTTCATTTATATTCTTTCCCTAGCTACCCTCTGTAGTCTTACCCATTTGCAAAATATCTTGAAACCTGTAACTCCTTGCCTAGTGGAGGTAAAACAGGCCTTGGACAGTCTGGTAAACTCCCTGAGTACATTACTGATAACAGGAACCTAAAAATGAAAGATAAGCACCTGAGAAGATGCTAGTGTCAAGATAAGTGACTGGAAGCCAGTTGAAACTAACCACCTTGAAGCAAAGAGGAGCAGAAGGACAGATGAGCTAGCTCTATGACCATATATGGACATAGGAAGCCCAAAATTCAGCTAGTGGACAGTGTGAGGAAGTCTATGTGGACCCCCAGGAAGATGGGGGGGGAAGACCCTCACTCTATTTTTACTATGCATGCTCAGACTATGTAAAAGAATTCTAAGAACTCATTAGCATAAGACTACCTTTTCCAGGGAATCTGATGAATATGTATGCTTTTTGTGTATATTAGTCAGAGGGTTTTGTTAGTAGTTGGAGCACTCATAGTGGAGCAATTCTGTGCTGCCCAGTGCTGCAATAAAGAATACCTGCTTAACAATTATATTGGATTCTGACTGTTCAGTTAACCTCTTTGTTTCAACAGTGTGGTAAACTCCCTGAATATATAGTACATCCCTGATAACAGGGACCTGAAAAAATGCAAGACAAGCTCTTGAGAAGATGCCAGTGTCAAGGTAAGTGACTGGAAGCCAGTTTAAACTAAACACCTTGAAACAGGAGCTGAAGGATGGATGAGGCAACTCCATGAGCATATATGGACATGGGAAGCCCAAAGTTCAACTAGCAGATAGTGTGAGGAAGGCTATGTGGACCACCAAGGGGGAGAGAAGACCCTCACTCTATTTTTACTATGCATGCTCAGATTATGTAAAAGAATTCTGAGAACCCATCAGCATAAGACTACCCTTTCCAGGAAATCTGATGAATATGTATGCTTTTTGTGTATATTAGAGAGTTTTGTTAGTAGTTGGAGTGATCCCCAGTGCTGCACAGCACTGCAATAAAGAGTACTTGCTTAACAGTTATATTGGATTCTGACTGTTGAGTTGTACTGGGTCTGGCTGAGCTGGAACTGGTTTTCTTCTCAGAGAAATTGTGGGGACTGGGGCAATAAAAGGACTGCGTACTCCTCTCTCAGGACTCTTGTTCTCCTTTCTTGATTTTGGTCCTCCTTCCTCAGAGCTGGGACTTTGGCAGAGCTTGGAGCACTGAGACTGAGCCAACGGTCCATTGCTGGATTCATGGTGGTGGTAATTAATCTTGCTGCATCTCTACCATGTGTTTTGCTTAGAGATTCTGACTTTTCCTTTCTTTTCTCTGTCCTAATGCTATTATCAGTTGTTATGGAAAATAAAGTTCACAAGGTTGTACAGCATCTAAACTCGTTTGTGTCTTAATTTCGCTCTTGGGATCATTCAAGAACCCTCCCCGATATTGGATTGGGACAGAGGCAGAAGTGTTTGGGAAAGGAAAAAGAGTAATTCAGATTCTTCTGAGAGCTGGGTTTGCCATAAAGAAAAGCAAAGTCAAGGGACCAGCACAAGAGATTCAGTTCTCGGGGGGAAAAAAAATGGCAAGATGGACGCCGTCATGTGCCTATGGATGTTGTCAACAAGATAGCAACTATGTCTCTGCCTACCAACAAAAAATCCCACAAGCTTTCTTAGGACTTGTGGGATTTTGGAGAATGCGTATTCCAGGTCACAGTCGGCTTGTGAGCCCTCTCTATCAAGTAACCTAAAAGAAGAACCATTTTGAGTGGGATCCTGAGCAACAACAAGCCTTTGTGCACATCAAACAGGACATAGCTTGGGCAGTAGCTCTTGGGTCTGTTCGGACAGGCCCAGCTGTGCAAAATGCAATTTACACAGCAACTGGGGAGCATGGCCTCACATGGAGCCTCTGGCAGAAGATACCAGATGAAATTCAAGGTCAACCATTATCGAGGATCAGAAGCCCACTCTGCTCTGACTGAAAAGGAGATGCTAGCAACATATGAGGGGATTTGAGCTGCTTCAGAAGTTGTTGGTACAGAAGCAGAGCTCCTCTTGGCACCGCAATTGTCTGTATTATAGAATTGCAGAATCACAGAATTGTCTAGGTTGGAAAAGACCTTGCAGATCATCCATCTAACCATTGACCTCACACTGACAGTTCCCAACTACACCATATCCCTAAGCGCTATGTCGACCCTACTCTTAAACACCTCCAGGGATGAGGACTCCACCACTGCCCTGGGCCGCCCATTCCAATGGCTAACAACCCCTTCTGGAAAGAAATGCTTCCTAATATCCAATTGAAACCTTCTGTGGTGCAACCTGAGGCCATTCCCTCTTGTCCTATCACTTATTACTTGGTTAAAGAGGCTCATCCCCAGCTCTCTGCACTCTCAGGTAGCTGTAGAAGGCGATGAGGTCTCCCCTCAGCCTCCTCTTCTCCAGACTAAACACCCCCAGTTCCCTCAGCCGCTCCTCATACAACCTGTGCTCCAGACCCTGCACCAGCTTCGTTGCCCTTCTCTGGACACGCTCGAGTCATTCAATGGCCTTTTTGTAGTGAGGGGCCCAAAACTGAACCCAATAATAGAGTTGCAGTCTCACCAGTGCCGAGTACAGGGGTAAGATCCCTGTCCCTGATGGCCACGCTATTGCTGACACAAGCCAGGATGCCATTGGCCTTCTTGGCCACCTGAGCACACTGCTGGCTCCTGTTCAGCTGGCTGTCGATCAACACTCCCAGTTCCCTCTCTGACTGGCAGCTCTCCAGCCACTCCTCCCTAAGCCTGTAGCGCTGCTGGGGGTTGTTGTGGCCCAAGTGCAGCCCCCGGCATTTGGCCTTATTGAAACTCCTGCAGTTGGGCTCAGCCCATGGCTCCAGCCTGTCCAGGTCTCTCTGCAGAGCCTCCCTGCCCTCGAGCAGATCAACACTCCCACCCAACTTGGTGTCATCTGCAAACTGACTGAGGGTGCACTAGAACCCCTCATCTAGATCATCAATAAAGATGTTAAACAGGAGTGGCCCCAAAAACAAGTCCTGGGGGATGCCACTCGTGACTGGGAGCTAACCAGATTTAACTCTGTTCACTACAGCTCTTTGGGCCCAGCTATTCATCCAATTTTTTACCCAGTGAGGTGTGTGCCCATCCAAGCTGTGAGCAGCAAGTTTTGCCAGGAGAATGCCATGGGAAACGGTGTCAAAAGCCTTCCTAAATTCAAGGTAAAAAAACATCCACAGCTTTTCCCTCATCCAATAAGCAGGTTGTCCTGTCGTAGAAGGAGATCAGGTTTGTCAGGCAGGACCTGCCTTTCATAAACCCATGCTGACTGGGCCTGATCCCCTGGTCCTCATTATATGTATTTTAATGGCACCTGAGATGACCTGTTCCATGACCGTTCCTGGCACTGAGGTCAGACTGACACGTCTATAGTTTCCTGGATCATCCTTTCTGCCTTTCTTGTAGATGGGTGTCACATTTGCTGCTCTCCAGTCCAGTGGGACCTCCCCAGTTAGCCATGACTTGAGGTAAATCATGGAAAGCAGCTTGGCGAGCACATCTGCAAACTCCCTCAGCACTCTTGGGTGTAACCCATCTGGTCCCACAGGCTTGTGTGCATCCGAGTGGTGTAGCAGGTCTCTGACCACCTCTTCTTCAACTGTGCTGACCTCAATCTGCTTCCCCTCCCCATCTCCCAGCTCACGAGCCTGGGTGTCCAGGGAACAGCCAGTTCCACTTCTAAAGACTGAGGCAAAGTAGGTGTTGAACACTTCAGTCTTTTCCTCATCCTTAGTTACCATGTTTCTCTCTGCATCCAGTAAGGGAGGGAGATTTTCTCTACTCCTCCTTTTGCTATTAATTAATTTATAGAAACATTTTTTGTTATTCTTAACAGCTGTGCTTTGGCTCTCCTCATGTTCACCCTGCATAGCTTCACTACATCTTTATAGTCTTCATGAGAGACCTGCCCCCTCTTCCAAATGTCATAGATTCTCCTTTTGTTCTTGAGATCCAGCCAAAGGTCCCTGTTTAGCCAGGCCGGTCTCCTTCCCCATCTGCTTGTTTTTCGACACATGGGAACAGCCTGCTCCTGTGCCTTTAAGACTTCACTCCTGAAGTATGTCCAGCCTTCCCAGACTCCCATTTCTTTCAAGGCAGCCTCCCAAGGGATTTTGTTAGTCAGTCTCTTGAACAGGTCAAAGTTTGACCTCCAGAAGTCTAAGGTGACATTTTTACTAATCCCTCTCTGTTTCTTGAAGGATCAAAAATTCAATCATCTCATGATCACAGCACCCTAGACGGCCTCCAACCTTTACTTCCCCCACAAGCTCTTCTGTTCATAAGAAGCAGGTCCAGGAGGCACCTTCCCTGGTCGGCTCACTCACCAGCTGTGTGAGGAAGTTATCCTCTATACATTCCAGGAACCTCCTGGATTGCTCCTTCTCCACTGTGTTGTGTTCCCAGAAGATATCTGGGAGGTTAAGTCCCCCACAAGAACAATGGCAAGTGACCGTGAGATTTCTCCCAACTGTTTATCGAAAGCTTCATCCACCTCACCACTTTGGTTGGGGGGTCTATAGCAGACTCCCACAGCAAGAGCTGCTTTATTGGCCCTTAGCCTACTCCAAACACTCTCAACCCCGTTATCACTATACTTGATTTCTGAGCTGTCATAGCATTCTCTTACATACAGGGCCACTCCACCACCTCTCCTTCCCTGTCTATCACTCCTGAAGAGCTTGTAGCCATCGATTGCAGCACTCCAGCCATGTCAGGCATCCCACCATGTTTCTGTTATAGCTACTATGTCATAGTTCTCGTGATGCATCATGGCCACAAGCTCCCCCTGTTTGTTGCTCATACTGTGTGCATTGGTATAGATGCACTTGAGATGAGCTAATGAATCCAACATCTTTTTTTTGAGTGTGGGCCCCCTTCCCTACCAGACCCTTCTCTGGTGCTTCCATGGTTCCTAAACATCTTTCCCTTCTCTCAAATGAAGTGGCAGAGGGAGAGCCCTCACCAGTCCACCTCCTTCAAGCTTTGGCACACTTCCCTTGAGTTTATTCCTAACAGGCCTGGTTCTCTCCCTGTCCCCCCTCATATCTAGTTTAAAGCCCTGACAATAAGCCCTGCTAACTCTTGCCTCAGAATCCTTTTCCCCTCTGGACAGCTCTATCCCACCTGTCTCATTTGTCACCAGCAGACCAGGTGCCTTATAAACCTCGCTATGGTCAAAGAACCCAAAATTCCAACGGTGGCACCAGACTCTGAGCCATGTGTTAATCAGATATGTCTTCCACCCTCTATCAGTGGTTTTCCCTTCCACTTGAGGGATTGATGAAAACATGACCTGAGCTCCCAAGACTTCAATTAGCCACCCCAGTGCCTTGAAGTCCTTTTTGAGTGACCTTAGATTTCTCTCTACCATCTCATTGTTACCTGCCTGGATAACCAATAAGGGGTAGTAATCAGAAGGCTGCACCAGAGCAGTGACTTTCCTTTTAATATCTCTGGCCCAAGCCCCAGGGAGGCAGCAGACCTCCCTTTGGTATGGGTCTGGTCGACATATGGGCCCTTCCATACCCCTCAGAACAGAGTCACCCACTACAATTACCCTCTCCTTCTTACTTGAAGAAGTTACAAGTCTTGAGGCTGAGGGACAAGCAGTGGATGACTCACTAGATGGCTCCTCATTTCCATCTTCAGTTGGCTGGCCATCTAGTTCCAATGCCTCATACCTATTGTATAATGACAACTGAGAAGGTTAGGAGGGCAGAGGAGGTTTTTGCTTGCCTTTCCAAGGAAGGACCTGACTCCATTCCCCCCTGTGCCCCACATGCCCTCCTTCTGCCTGGTGAGAGGAGGGGAGGGAGTCATGTATTTCTTGTAGAGCCTCTACCTGCTGTCTTTGTCTCAGAGTATGGCTCCACCAGTCAATCTAATTTTTGTATTCTGATTGTTCTCAACCTTTCTACTTCCTCTCTCAATTCAACCACCTGCCTGAGCAGATCATTTACTTGATCACACCGCAAACAAATGGTGTCTCTGACTCCCTCTGATTCAAGTGCCAGGCTCAGGCACACTCAGCAGGCAGAGACCTGCACAGACGCCTGTTTGTGCAACACCTCTGTCTGGGTTCCCACACTCCTCATCGCTCTGCCTCTGGGCCATGTTAGGACCATGGTCTTTTCTCTAGCCAGGAGAGAACCAATCCCTGTGTGCTGTTTCTCACACGCTGTGCTCTCACTTCCCCCCAGAGCAGTTCCTTCCCTCCTCTCTCTCTCTGGAACTGATCAATTGTTTGCAGGGATCAAATATACCTTGTCCAGTGGCAGAGACTCAGCCGTGCCTTACAAGCTGCCTCGGTTCACTCACAGTAAAGTACTATCAGATCACCCTGAGCTTGGTGACCTCCCACAGGGTTCTTATCACCAAATCAATGGTAGGTGGTGTTTGTTCCACCCACGCCAACATGGAAGCCCACCCAGCTTGTTACTGAGGTGTGGGATGTGAGCTGGTCTCCTTGGTGAGTGACTGCTGGTGTGGTTATACCTCATTCAAAACAGGTGCCACTGGCCCTTGGCTCCACCCAGAGCCCACGCTGCCTCAGCTGCCCACCCACTGGCTTGACAGTCTCCTTAGAGAAGGTTAGCCATGTTTTTGGCTCCAAAAAGATGCAACCCCCCCAAAAAAAAGCTCTTTTCTCGGCCCTTTTGTGGTGAATACCCCCACTGCAGTCTTACCTGCACTGGAGTTGGTCTCCTCAGTGAGTGACCGTTAGTGTGTTTACACCATGACATTGGATGTTCAAAGGAAATATGCCTTCTATGCACCATGCAATCAGTGCTACCTGGAGTAAAGGGGTAGAGTTAATCACACAACAAGCTCGACAGGCAAAATCCAACCATTCAGGGATCCTGGAAGAGATCATGGACTGGCCAGAAGGTAGAGATTTTGGAACATTGCCTGAGGAGGTGGAGGACAACACAAGTCATTGAGGCCATTGAAGGAGAGGGTGATTCAAGTCAGTTTGCAGAAGTAAAAGTGATCCAACTGGCCCTAGAGATTGCTGAATGACAAAAGTAGCCAGGCCTGTATCTCTACATTGATTCCTGAATGGTGGCTAACACCCTGTGGGGGTGGCTACAGGAGTGGAAGAAGAACAATTGGCAGTGAAGAGTTAAAACCATCTGGGCTGCTGCATTGTGGCAGGACATCGCTGCCCGAGTGGAAAACGTGGCTCTAAAGGTACGTCATATAGATGCTCATGTGCCCAAAAGCTGTGCCACCAAAGAACATCAAAACAATGAGCAAGTAGACAAGGCGGCCAAAATTGAGGTAGCTTGGCTGGACCTGGACTGGGAGCGTAAGGGTGAGCTCTTTGTAGCTCCATGTGCCTCTGAAACTTCAGGGCATCTCGGGAGAGATGCAACGTACAGATGGGATCGTGATCAAGGGGTGGACCTGACCATGGGGGCCATCACACAGGTCACTCACGAATGTAAAACATGTGTTGCAATCAAACAAGCCACACGAGTAAAGTCTCCCTGGAACAGAGGATGATGGCTGAGTTTTCAATATGGTGAGGCCTGACAAATTGACTATATTGGACCACTGCCACGAACACGCCAAGGCAAGCGCTACATACTCACCATGGTGGAAGCAACTATGGCTTGGCTTGAAATGTACACTGTAAATCATGCCACTGCCCAAAATACCATCTTAGGTCTTGAAAGGCAAATTTTATGGCAGCATGGTACTCCTCAAAGAATCAAATCAGACAATGGAACCCATTTTCGAAATAATCTTATAAACTCCTGGGCAAAGAAACACGGCATTGAGTGAGTGTATCACATCCCTGATTACACACAAGCATCTGGAAAGATTGAAAGATATACTGGACTGTTGAAGACTATGTTGAGAGCATTGGACAATGGGGGATGGAAGCACTGGGATATAAATTTAGCAGAAGCCACTTGGCTAATTAACACCAGAGGATCTGTTAACCGTCCTGGTCCTGCCCAAACAAAATCCCTTCATACTGTGGGAGGAGATATGGTCCCAGTAGTACACACAGGGAAATGGCTGGGGAAGGCAGTGTGGATTGCTCCTCCCTTGGGAAAAGGCAAGCCCACTCATGGGATTGTTTTTGCTCAGAGGCCTGGGTGTACTTGGTGGGTAATGCGGGAGTTTGGGGCTGCTCAGTGTGTGCCTCAAGGACATTTAACCTTGGGGGGAAAGTAATCTGTGGCGTGAGTTGTATGTTGCTGGAAGTGATGGAGGAAGTAGGAACTACGAAGGGTGAATTTCACAAAGAACCAGATATGTGCAATGACTACCCAAAGCTAGCTGGTGCTGGTGTCCAACAGTCAAATATACTTCTGTCCTGAACATCTATCTTGACAGATGTGGGCCAAGTCACTGAACATCTGAAGGAGTGAAGAAAGCTTATGGAATGGATAAATGAATATTATTATGTGGGACCTGGGCTTGATGTATATGGTATGGAATAAGGGGTGGAGACTGTACTGGGTCTGGCTGACCTGGAATTGGTTTTCCCATATAGCAGCCCTCACTGTGCTGTATTTAATGTTGGGAGCTGGCAGGGTGTTGATAGTACCCTGGTGTTGTGGCTACTGCTGTGCAGTGCTTACATAGCACTAATGCTCTTTCCAACATTTTTTCCCCCAGTGGGATGGGGTGGGCAAGATCTTGGGAGGGGACACAGCCAGGAGAGCTGGCCCAAACTGGCCAAAGGGATATTCCAGACCATGTGACATCTGCTCAGTATAAAGCTGGGAGAAAGGAGGAAGGGGGTGGGGTCACCCTTGGTCCTCTAAGGCAACCACTACGGGTATTGGAGCCCTGCTCCTGAGAAGGTCCGACATCGCCTGTCCATGGGAAGTAGAGAATAAATCTGTTTGCTTTTATTGCTTCCATGCGCGGACCTTTGCTTATATTAAAACTGCTTTTGTTTTACCCACAAGGGTTGGTCTATCTTATTTTCTTTCCCCTCTTTGCCCTGTTGAGAAAACAAGGGGAAAAAGGGAGGGGGGAAGTGATAGAGCGACTTGGTGGATACCTGGCATTTAGCCAAAGTCAAACGATCACACACCTCATTTACAACACGTGTTTCCCATGCTGTTGCTCATCTTCCCTGAGAGGTGGGTTAAGTTTTTGTTTTACTCTGTGATGCTTATCTATGATAGTATGCAGTCATTGGTCCTGGGGCTATTTACAATTGTATTTGAGAAATTCAAGGAGTGCAAATATCTTTGGATTGTTCACGTTAACATCGTTGCTGTGGTGCTAGGAGCTAGTGTGTTTCTTAATGTGGTTCAGGTTTTGGTCAGGGTTAAGGAACTATTTAAGAATATCACTTGGAAACCTACTCCAAGGTTGGAGAATTATGGGTGGGTGGGGGTGTGGAGTAGTCTGGGAGTGTCAGCTCTGTGCAGTTGTGGGAGATTCAATGTATTACTGACTGATGATTAAGAGGCAAGTTATCATTGGCTTGTCAGATCTGTACAGCTGTGGGTGATTCAAAAGAGTCAAATTGACATCAGCAAGTCAGCTCTGCTCAGGAGCTCTGTTTTGTGCATGCTCAGAGAAGTGCTGGTCAGTCCTGTGCTGGCTCAGAATGCAGCATCAGCTCTGTTCTGCATAGGTCTAGAGAAGCAGCAAGGCCTTGAGGAGAAACAGACCTTGGAAGAAATATGTTAGCTCTGTGTAGGCCTGGAGAAGGAGAAATATTTTAAGAAACTGCCAGACTGTGCTAAGGTGGATGGAACTGTTTGTGGGAGAGAGTGTTGATGATTGTCTAGTTGCTGATTTGTTTATTATGAAGTAAGGGCTTTAATAGGAGTATAAGTATGTATTATTGTATGAGTATATATATTAATGTAAGGAGAAAAAGAGAATTTAAGGAAAATAAACAGCCCCTGCCCTGCAGAAACAAAGAACACTGTGATGTGTGAATTATTTTGGCTGCTACGACTTATTACAACATAATACAAATTAATAAAAAATAATAGAGTAGCATGGGCAAGTACCTAGAACACTGGGCACCTCCAGTGTATCGGAACTTTGCTCCTGCACTGGTGCAGAATCCTGAAGTACTAGTAAAATATTTGGAAGAAGTATATTGTCATCTGGGTAATTCCAGAGAGCACAGCTCACTGCAACATGCTGGGGCCTAGCCCACTCCTACTGAGTGCTATTAAACACTGTTCAGCACCCTCAAGAGGAAGAGAAGGGCTCTGGATCTGATGGTAAAGTAACGGAAACTACAGCTACTACAACCCTGAGGATGTGTGCTGCAGTTGAACCAGAGAGCCAACCTATGATGGTGTCAGTTGCTCCCATACATAAAAAGAAATACTCAAGAAAATCCCCTTGTGGTGTACAGGGTGACAATGAACCAGAAATGTCTACCAGAATTCTCAATACAAACTGTGGAATGGAAAATACTCACCAAAGCCAATCATCTCAAGATCCTATAAATAGCAGTCCAAAAGTGAGACCTTTTGAGACCTCTGGGACCATAGTGGGTTGGGTGACTCAGTATCTCCCCCTGAGCTGGGATGCCTCTCAGGGTAGGTTTTGCAAGGATTGTCTGCTGATGATTTTGTGAGGAATCAAAGGCCTGATTTTGTGAGGTTCACCGACCACCTGTTAAGGAATGCTGGCACATAAAAGTTAGTAATTCATGAAACTCACACAAAGAGAAATTTTAATCATAGGTTAACCTGTCTGTGTGTGTGTGTAATTTGATTCATAATTGTTTGCCTGTCTGTACATGTGATTTGATTTAATCTCCATCTGTGTGTGCAACCCTGTGAGTTTCAGGTGACCCTTGCCATTGTCAAATCTTTAACTAGGTCACTATTTTGACTGTAACAAATTTAATTGAATCAGTCTCTTAAATTAGCCGATGATTAAGTGCTGTTAATAATTATACAACCTAATTTTGTGATCTATCTCAAAATATTAATAAATGCTAAATAGCTGCTAAACCAAAGTAGTGGAACAAAATCTTTTTAATGACACCAGCACTGTTGGGCTCCAGGCCTTGGGAACAAAAATCCAGGTTGATGCAAACAGAGACCCACCATCCGTGAAGGAAGAGTTGGTAGGCAAATTATTACAGGAGCTTGACTCCTACAGATCAATGGGCCCTGATATTATCCACCTGAGGGTGTTAACAGATCTGGCTGATGTTGTTGCAAGGCCACTCTCCATAATCTGTAAGAAGTCGTAGAGACTGGGAGATAGATATCTCAGAAGACAAAAAGAAGAATAATGTCACCCCCATCTGCAAGAAGAGTTTAAAGGAGGATTCAGGAAATTATAAGCCCATCAGTCTTACTTGAATCCCTGGGAAAGTTATGGAAAGAATCCCCCTGGGGGGCTATCACAAGTCAAATGAAGCACATGATTGGGAAAAGCCAGCATAGATTCACCAGGGGCAAATTGTGCTTGACAAACCTGATTGCCTTCTACAGCACAGTAACCTGCTTGGTCGATGTGAGGCCAGTGATGGACATTGTCTACCTGGATTTCTCCAAGGCTTTTTATATGGTTCCCCACAGCCTCCTTCTAGAGAACCTGATGCATTATGGTCTAGACAGGTGGTGTGTGATGGGTGGGGAACTGGCTGGCAGGCCATACTCAGCGGGTGGTAGTAAGTAGCTCCTTTTAATACTGGCAACCTGTCACAAGTTGGGTCCCCCAGGGATTGATATTTGGCCCAATGCTGTTTAGTATCTTCATAAGTGATCCAGATAATGGGATCAAGTATACCCTGATGAAGTTTACTGATGATACCAAACTGAGTGAGGAAGCAGACACTTTGGAAGGGAGAGCCACCCTTCAGGATGTCCTGAATAGGATGGGAGAGTGAGCTAACAAGAACCTTATGAAGTTCAACAAGGACAAGCATAAAGTCTTGCACCTGGGAAAACATAATCCAGGACTGCAGCACAAACTGGCATCTACCTGGTTGGAGAGCATGCCTGACCAGCATAACAGCAAATGCAGATATCTGCGCTTGCTTTGGGTCTGAACAAGCAGTCTTGACAGAGCCAGATACACTATACAAACACTCCACCTGCCCAGCCACACAGAAGATGCTAGCAGGGAATTCTCTCCTTAATTTCCAGCCTGTCCAAACCAAAAATAAATCTGGGGCTCTGCACTTGCTTTGGCCCTGAACAAGCAGACTTGACAAAACCAGCCACACCATCCAAACACACCTGGAAAGGGACCTGGCGTGGACAAGATCAGTATGAGCGAACAGTGTGCTGCAGTGGCAAAAAAAGCCAACAGAATGCTGGGTTGCATCAACAAGAGCATTACCAGCAGAGATAATGAAGTCATTATCCTACTCTACTCAGGGCTTGTCAGGCCACACCTGGAATACTGATTTCAGTTTTAGTCCCCACTATAGAAAAAAAGATGAGGACCAGAGGAAGGTCACAAAAATAATCAAGGGACAGGGAATACTGTCATGTGAGGAAATGCTTAGAGAACTGGGTCTGTTCAACTTTCAGAAGAGAGGGCTTAGGGGAGACCTTATCATGTTCCAGTATTTAAAGGGTGGTGGCAAAGAAGATGGAGACTCCCTTTTTACAAGGAATCACATAGAAAAGATGAGGGGTGATAGACACAAATTAGTCCTGGGGAGATTCCAACTGGACACAAGAGGAAAATTTTTCATGATGAGAATCACAGAATCATCTACATTGGAAAAGACCTTGAAGATCATCCAGTCCAACCATTAACCTCACACTGACCATTCCCAACTATACCATATCCCTCAGTGCTATGCCAAACCGACTCTTAAATACCTCCAAAGATGGGGATTCCACCACTGCCCTGGACAGCCCATTCCAACACCTAACAACCCCTTCTGGAAATAAATGCTTCCTAATATCGAATTGAAACCTTCCGTGGTGCAATTTGAGGCCATTCCCTCTTGTCCTATCACTTATTACTTGGTTAAAGAGGCTCATCCCCAGCTCTCTGCACCCTCCTTTCAGGTAGCTGTAGAGGGTGATGAGGTCTCCCCTCAGCCTCCTCCAGCCTAAACACCCCCAGTTCCCTCAGCCGCTCCTCATACGACCTGTGCTCCAAACCCCGCACCAGCTTCGTTGCCCTTCTCTGGACACGCTCGAGTCATTCCA